GTCTAAATCCTAAGGCTTGGTCTACATTTTGTAGCAAAAATTTTGCTACCCAATATGCAGCAAAATGTTGAAAATTAGGTTGTTCCATGCAGTGTTTCAAAAATTGGAATTGGTCTTGATTCGACTGGGTCTAATTTTGTTTCGAACCGTTTATCAAAATTGGAATTGGTCTTGATTCGTCTGGGTCTAATTTTGTTTCGAACCGTTTTATCTGCATGATTTTCGAGCTGGATTGGGCTATGTTTAACATAAAAATTAGAAATAGAAATTGAAGTCGGAAAATCCAAAAAATTAAGGGTTCTTGGAATTAAAATTTCAAGTTGGATCGTCAATCTTTCTGTTAAAGTTCGAGAGAGTACGAGCACAAATATTGAAGGTGAAGAGAAGAAGAAAAGAACAGAGATAACACAAGATTTACGTGGTTCAGGCCGAAACTTTACGTCTACAAATCTGAAATTTCAAGTTGGATCATCAAAGTTCGAGAGAGCATGAGCACAGACATTGAATGTGAAGAGAAGAAGAAGAGAAAAGAGATAACACAAGATTTACGTAGTTCAGGTCAGGCCGAAGCCGTCCACTGATCCAAAGCCCTAACTGGCTACATCTTTACTATTTTGGATAAAAGATTACATAAATACGTACCTAGAGGACAATCACAATGAATCTTGGAGATAGAGAACAACAATATGATCAAACAATTTGACTTGGTCTATCTTCAACACTTTCAATCCATGTTTTAATGCTTGGCTGAGGCTGATGGCTCATATAACTCGTAAATATGGCTTAAAACTAGTGTTTTAAAACCTAGATCCGGATCAAGAATTAGCGCCAGATCAAATTGATGGGTGATCTGGGTCCCTCCCCTAGAAGCCCTTGATTTTTTAAAAAATAAAAATAAAAATTTGTAATCGATTTTTCACGAGTTCAGCCAATTTGGATTGTCATTCCGATCAATCCGGATCAATAAAGTGGGTACGCAATCTAAAACCCGATCCCGGGTTTTAAACCATCACTTGAAATCAAACATGTAAAACCATGCACGTAAATCATATATTGCACGCTTGTCATTTGAAAGAGAGAGGGAGAGATTACAAATTTGAATTCTAAACGTTTCACAAGTTGAACCTTGAAAAGGCAATTTAGTCATTTTAGCATAGTGTTGAAGCTCCCAATGATCCTAGCTGGATTGTGCTCCCCCTCCTTTTCATGTTAATAATAAGAGATTGGTGGGGATCTGAAAAGCTTCATCCCTTCAATTTTATTTTAATACCACTTCATTATTTCCTCTTTTATAGGGAAGTTTGTTAGCAAATAAAAAGGCTTAGTGCTATTTGAAAACTTTAGAAGGCATGACCTTTGAACAAACTACTACGTGACAAATCCCAACACACTTTGGCTCCTCTTTTTGAAGATTTTTTTGGCACCCCACGCGGGCTGCGGTTAGGCGGTCCCACAGGAGGCCCATGCAAAAACCCTAGAAAAGATAATGGTTAAATAATACTAAAATAATTTGAAATTCAAATGATGGTTATCAAGGAAATGATTAGAGTCAAAAGATTTAGGTTGTTTAAGACCCATGTATATCACTAGTGGAAGGCATGATTGCTCATTTAAAAAAAGTGGGGTTTGGTTGATACTTGAAAAAGCAAGAATATAATAAAATAATAATAATAATAATAATAATAATAGGGATGGTTCTTGGAGGGAATTATTTCATACTTTATTTGGATTGAAGTGTGTTTAAGGTTAAGAAGTTTTGATAAGATTGGAATTAGTTGCTTCTCTTTTAATCCATTATTAGCCTTGGGATGCTTGGAATCTCATTTATGATCTTTGATGGAAATTTCCAAGATGAATTGATATGACATCTTGAAGAAAGTACTATGTTCTCTTCCCTTACTTCAGCCATTGAACAATGAGCCCCATCCTAGAACGTTTTGTGGTTCCTTTGGGATTAGGCTTGCAACATTGTATTGCACCAAAAAGGACAAAAGGGAATCCCAATACTATGTATATATCTATCTCTCCCCTAATGTAATCACTATGGAATTGATGAGAGATTTGGTCTAATAAAAAGTGATATAACCCTCAAAAAAATTGGACTAGATTTTAAACCAATTTTGTTTAATTAGTCTAACCATTCATAACTAACTAGGCCAACTTTGTTTAATTGGTCTAAATGTTCAAAACTTGGCAGTCCGACTGGCTAAAATCAGTAAAACATTTCTTTTTATTAGTATTCAACCCACCCAATTCTTGTTGTGACCGGTCATTTCGGTCGATCTGATAGCAATGGGCTGAGTTTGGGCTACGACAGCCTTGGCCCTAACTCGGCCCTAGTCCTTATAGGGCTGGCCAAGCAAAACCCGAGCCAAAGTGGCAAGCTGAGCCTAGCCATCTCAAGCATGGGGGAATATAATTCAAGAAACAAATGAAAGAAAAGGTAAAGGGAAAAAAAAAAAAAAAGCCAAGCTGGGCCAAACGCGGCCAGCCCTGCTGTGGCCTATACTGCAGCCCAAATGGGCCCGGCCCTTGGATCATGGTGGCTAGCCCCCTAGACTTTAGGGCAAGACTGCCCGGGCCATTGCGTAGATCTAGTGTTTAACAATCCTCTCACCTTCATTCGAAGCTCATTCTCTTGCAAGATTTCGCTTTTTGTTGAATGATGCATAGAATAGTTACTAGGAAATGTCATTGGGCGCTCATCCCTTTCTATATTTTATGCTTCTTGCAAAGGTCCAATTATATCTAGTTAATGATTGTGTTTCCTTAGTAAGAAGACAATCATAGAATCCACTCCAAATCACTTGAGCTAAGGAACCTGGAAATGTTAATAAATCTTTTGGGCCTGAATATTTTTAGGAATCCTATTCATCAAATACATTTTTAGGGAAAGCCAAAATCTGTATTTTCAGATTCCTCAATCTCGAAATTTAGGGTATTTTCAAGATCAAGAAGGCAAGTTTATCAGTGTTTTGTGATTGAAGTTAATCCAAGATAAGGTTTTGGTGTGTTAGCCGATGCGCACAATTACATGCGGTGCTGCTCCAAAATACATCTTAGAGATGAAATTTGGGTCCGAAAGTTCTCAACCACCACAATCATGGATATGAAAAAAAAAATGATTATAATTTTTCAACCTCGAAAGAGGTTTATTTTGAAATTTTTATGTTGTAATTTTATAGGTAAGTAATCTCACGCACCATGATCATGAATATGGAAACCAAATAAAAATAAATAAATATTATAAAATTTGAACTTTAAAAGTGGTAAATTTTCAACTTTTAATGAACGATTCAGTTTACTTCTCAGATTTTGCAGCGGCAAATGGATGGTTCTAGCGAGGAAATGTAATTTTACTTATTAAGGAAGTGTTCATATCCTATATCTATGGAAAACCAACGTGGACTAATTTACTATAGAGTGATTTCATGTCCCAGTTTCTTAATAATAGAAGAAATCTCTCCAGAAAAGGCCACATTGGATGCATTTGTATGATCCCAAATTCCATGCATGCACTGTCATCTCAAAAAGGAAAAGAGAATTGTATTTTACCCCTAAAAAAGGGACCAAATGAGTACCCCTACCATTTGGTGCACACCAAAGTTTGGGCTTTTAAAATTTTTTTTTTTTCTTTTTGATCTTTTTTCTTACGTAAAATTATCCTTCTTCGATAAAATAATAATCTAGAGCTCATGTCTAAACCAAGAAGGTCGAAGTCACCATATTAAAAAAGATCATCTTTTAAGCTGCACATTTATAGTTTCTTGGACTTCATCAGTTATACTGGCAATAGATAATTGCAAGAATTAAAGGGGAGGTCGTCATCGCCCAAAAGGGCATGCTTAGAAGTACTGAGAAAAAATACGGAGACGTATAGCTTCACTAAGAGTATGATCTTTAATAAGACGAATTCATATAGCCAACCCCAATTAGTTCGCAAAACGCTTTGATGATGATGATGATGAAAGGTAAAGTTTACATTCAATGTGTAATAGTAATAATTTTAGGCAAGCTTTATGTGCTTCTCCTATAGTATAAAACTTATATAATTCCCCTTATCCAACCGTCCATTTTGAACAGAGGGCTAAGATTGCCCCAATCACAATGTCACGTCTCCATACCATTTTATTTTTAAATTTTTTTTCTATAAACTATTTTGACACCAAATTCTAGACGTCCATTCCTCTATTAAACTCGCACTAGCGAAAAAATATTAAAAAAATATATTCAATAAAATAAAATACCCAAAACACCTCTAAAATTTTCAAAAGGTATTTTGGTCATTATATTTTATCAAAAAATTATTTTTAATATTTTTTATAAGTGCGCCCCAATACGAAGATGGCAGATACCAAATTTCATATTCATACAATTCGTATAAAAAAAACTAAAAATAAAATATTTTAAGACATTGGATTTAAAATCAAATGATGAGTAGCTCTCTTGATCAAAATTGGACGGCTTGATGATAAAAATAAAATAAAACTTCTATGCTCTAAGAAAAGTATAAAAACCTTTCCAATAAGGTTGAGGAACTCAAAATCTTATTGGCCATTGAGGCGTAATCTAAATTTAGTATCGGTAAAAAATTTCCACTTTCATTAGAAACCCTTAGCATTGCAATGAAATAATTTTCCTTTTGTCAATGTAAAAATGTTGTAATCTGGTGGAGTGTTAATTATTAATAAGCCAGTAGAAGAGTCTCCACACTTGTTCTCTCTCTCTCTCTCATACAAACCAGTAAAACACCTCTTTCTCTCTCTCTCGATCTCGAACCGTTAAGTTATTTTTCCATTCACTATATTGTATATGCAGTACAGCTCTCTCTCTCTCATCAGAGCCATTTTGTCCCTCCTGAAAATATGCATGTGGTAAGAGAGAGAGAGAGAGAGGGAGAGGGAGGAAAAGGAGGCAGCGGGTTTCCACCCCCATTTTAGAAAGAGAGGATGGAAATGGGGGCAGATTTCTGTCCCCTTTGAGAGAGAGCGAGAGAGAGGTACAAGTGAAATTCTCCATGTATTTGACAACGGTGTTAAATACTGTTCTACATGGCATTGGAGCCTATGGGCAAATTTTAAAAGAAACCCCAAAGACCCCATCCACTAAATTCTAGTGGCCACCATGAAAAAAATAATCAAAATAAGAAGAGAAGAACTAAGAAACAAATTCTACAAAGACCAATTAACCAATCTTCTGGTTCATCCCTCCAGTTGCTCATCACACCTCAAAATCCAACAAAAATGTCATGATCTATCAATAACATTTTCGCATAACTCATCTTTAAAAACTGTCATCAAGCTTCCTCTCTATGCCTTTTATAATTCCCAACCATTTGCCCTCCATTACTGAAAACTCCTGGTAAAAGCTTGAGTTTCCCATTGGAAGCTTCACTGTTATTCTGTTCTTCAAACAGATAACGTTGGTTAAAAAGAGGCCTCTTCTCAATGAATTCTTCATTAACCAATTTCAGGCAATTTTCTGGCAACTTTTTGATAGGTTTATCAAGAAAACCCCGATAGAATATTGGTTTTCTGTTCAAACTTGAATCGTCCCCAATTGAAACTTCTCTGCCCATGAAAATCTTGCCGGATTCTGCTGAAGCCTTTGCTGGACTTTCCAGTTCCGCCAAATTTCCAGCCATTGATAGAGACCTGTCGGGACATGAAGCCAACAATTTGTGCCCTGAAATTCCCACCCCGTTCTCTTTTCCAGTCACTTCTCCATCAAACCCTATGCCAGAAAACAGACCAGAAGATTCGCCGGAAAAGCTTTCCGGAGATTTGGGGTATGAAGAGTGAGGGACTCTAGTTGAGAGGTCACTCATTATTTCTGCCATTTTTGCTTCATTTTGGGTCATGGGAGGTTCTTCTTTTTCCTCTGAAATGGGATCAAAATCAGCTTTGAAAGAGAGGCTGCCATCATTGATGGAATCTGGAGAGAGAATCTCAGTATCCATTTCCCCAAGGCTAGTGGAAGATATGGCGGCGGTATTTAGAACATTTGCAGTGAGTGAGTTACTGTCTGATTCAGAGGACAAAAGCAGAGGATTTTCTTTTGGTAACGATTGCTCAACAGGGCATTTTGTGGGCATTTGGCGAACATCAATCCTGTCAAATGATGCATAATGGAAAATCTTGAATCAGCCTTGAAAGAGTTAGTTATAAAAAAAAGAAGATGAATAAGGGCTACTCTGGATTTATGCCCTTCTTGATGTGGTTTTCTAATGGGCAATTTTCAAAACTATGGCATTGTTTGCAGAAATTTGGAAGGAGTAAAAAGAAATGGAACATATTGAAATTAAGAAATTACAACAATGTAAGAAGTAGAAATTTCAGGATAATAATCTATGTTGCCGCATTTTATCAAATTTTCAAATCTCCATATATGTAAATAATCTTTTAATTTTTCACTATAAACATAAAACAAATTTCTAAACGAGATTAAGAAACTTAAATTGTGAATATCTTAGACCTAGTCAAAGCAAAACTACTTTCAGGCCTTAAAGAGATCATCTAAAGATTATACATTCCTTTTAAGACAAATTAATTCCTTAAAGACAAATTATATAGACAAATAACTATCTCTCACCTGCTATATAGAAGCATATAAGCTCCCTGAGCGAGCACCTCCTCGAGCTCCACATGCTCGACCTATGAAAAATCATGCAATTTTCAAAATTCAATAAGCATAAAAGAGCACCATGAAAATGCCTGCTACAAGCAAGATTTTAATACTTTGCTCAGGCCCGCGACTCACCTGAGTAGAGTAACTTGCATGAGTCCGGGTGGACTAGAGAAAAGAGAGATGAAACAAGGGGGACGGATGTCACCCCCTTTTAGATAGATAGAGGAGGATGGAAAAAAGGGGGGGGGGAGGATCTCACCCCTATGTGTGTGTGTGTGTGAGAGAGAGAGAGAGAGAGAGAGAGAGAGAGAGAGAGAGAGAGAGAGAGAGAGAGAGAGAGAGAGAGAGAGAGAGGAGGAGGGAGGGAAGGGAGGTAGGAGGGAGGAAGGAGGTAGGTAGGAGACGTAGGTACG